AATCTGGCGATTATACTACACAAAACTAAATAATGGAAAATTATTTAATTTTTAACATATTTTAAATTCATTAAAGTTTTAAAATGTTACAGAAGTGAAACTTTCAAATTCAGTATTAGTAAAGTGTGTTATGCAGTTTTCTCTAAGTTTAGTATTTATTAAAATCTACAATTTTTTTTTTAACTTTGTTTTGTTTTGTATGTATATGGGTATGCTATTCCAAAATAGATTTGATTGATTGATTGATTGGATAATTGCCGTAAGAAATGGGTGGCAAAAAAGGAAAAATCAACTGTAAGTCGTATGTGAATCTTGCCATTTAGTGTGATGGGCTTACCACCATGAGATAACAGTCAGGAATTTACTCTTCCACTTTTCTATAAGTTACGTTGTAACACTTTATTCAGGAAACAAAAGTTGTGCGCCCACTATATTGTTGTCACGATTGGAACTTAACGTTAATACCTCAGCACGTTGAACTCTAGCTGTTAAGTTCACACTTCATATTTATATCTGGTTTCCTGGGTGATTTTTAAAAAATAGGTAGTTTCTATTTTGAGTGATATTCAAATTCAACTATTTTAAAATGTAGTTTAATCTCAGGGGCAGGTCCAGAATTTTTCAAATGGGGGTGGGAGTGGGTGAGGGGCACAACAGTCTCAGAATAGGTAAGGGAGTAGCACATAATATTGATTTGCATTGAAATTTATAAAATTTAGTGGCAAATGCGTTTCTATTCCATTTTACTATTCTTTGGTTGATAAGTAATCATGTACCCCCTTACTGGATCTGCCCCTGAATCTAAACCTCTAAGATCATGAAATGTGTGGAAAAGTAACTAAAGAGAGATGTGTATACACAGTATTCTGTATATTCTTTTTTTATACTCAAATATAAATTTGTTATGGAAGTGGAAAAAATAAATATTAACACAACAAACAAACAAGACTAAAGGTTTGGTTAATATTTAATATAGGGAAAATAGACCATGAACTGTATCTTACTATTTGTTTAATTTGTGTTTAAATTGTATATTCTTTTCGTTATTATTCTCAGTTATAAATTTGTTAATGGAAATGAAAAATATATATATTATTATATGAAAAAATAAACAAACAAGAGCAGAAAGAGGGTTATTTAAAAGGGAAAAATGATCACGAACTGTATGTGGGAAGTGCCTAAACATGTGTTTATTCTGTATTCTTTTTTGTATTATTCTCAATTAAAATTTTTTTTACACTGAAATGTAAAGAAACAAATATTTACATGAATAAACAAACAAGACCAGAAAGTTGGGTTATTTAAAGGGGAAAAAAATCATGAACTGTATCTTACTTTGTGGGAAGTGACTAAACAATAGATGTGTTTATTCTGTATTCTTTTTTGTATTATTCTCAATTAAAATTTTTTACACTGAAATGGAAAGAAACAAATATTTACATGAATAAACAAACAAGACCAGAAAGTTGGGTTATTTAAAGGGGAAAAAATCATGAACTGTATCTTACTTTGTGGGAAGTGACTAAACAATAGATGTGTTTATTCTGTATTATTTTTTGTATTATTCTGAATTATAATTTTTTTTTGCATGGAAATGGAAAGAAACAAATATTAGCATGAATAAACATCCAAAAAAAGACCAGAAAGATGGTTATTTAAAGGGAAAAAAATCATGAACTGTATCTAACTCTGTCGGAAGGGATTAAACCGAGATATGTATAAATGTTTGTATTACTGTATTCTCAATGATAAATGTCTTACGTGGAAATTGAAAGCAATAAATAGTAACATTATTATGAGCAAAACCAGAAAATTTTGATTAATTTAATGGAATGAAAAAAGGAATATTTTAATTCATTTAGGATAACAAGGTTGTAATGAAGATTTTAGTGGAAATCTTATGTAGAATTTTATATATCAATGCTTTGTTCATATTTAATTACCATTAAAAAGCCGAGCGGTTGGCCAAGAGGTATTCCTGATTCTTGATGTGAAGACGCCAGTTCAAATCCAGACAGTGTTGGGTTTTAATTGGGAGTCTGATCGTTTAGCTCCTCGAATAACCCTCACATTGATAGTTAACGATCGGTTAAGGACAATATTTGTATCCATATGTGTCCATTAAGTTGGGTGGCAGTGCATTGCGGCTACTGCTGGTCCCCAGGCCCCACCCAAATTTTTGATTTCCAGTTTGAATGAACCATTATTATTATTATTATTATCATTATTATTATTATTATTATTATTATTATTATTATTATTATTATTGTTATTGTTATTATTATTATTATTGTTATTATTATTTATTATTATTTTGTTATTATTGCTATTATTATTATCATTATTATTATTATTATTATTGTTATTAAATATGTTAATAAATTTATATTAACTAAATATAAAAGATAGTAATGTTCAAAATTTGGCGAGTTATAATCTATATAAACTATCAAACATTCACTTAATTTGATTTGCTCATATTAAATGTCAAATTCGTTATCAACTGTTTTTAAGACAGAATTGAATTCAGTTTTGTTGATTTACACAATTTTTAAATTATGTCAGCTAATTTTAGTCCCTGCAGTGATTTAAGAACAGTACAAATCTGTGTTATTGGTAAAGTAGTCATCAAAAATCACTTTATTGCATATGAGACAATAGAAAAAAAACATACATCAATCCTAGATCATGGCTAAAGCAGGCAGTCACTGCTTTGTACGACCGTCGAACGACGAATCCAACCCCGCTATTTGTGAGTGCTAGATTGCGCAACGCCACCGGCTGATTGTCGGTGGAAGTCTGAACGGATCGTCATTAATTTGATCCGTTGCGCACGCGTCGTCGTGTTGCTTTCTCCATAGAATCGCATTGGCCACAGTAAGTGCCCTGGCATTTGAAGGTGCACACACAAGGAGAAACGAAGTATCATTAAGTAAACTATAAAAAACTGCTTTTTAATAGTGACTAAGAAGCTAACTCCTTTATATAATACTATGTTTCATCAATCATTATCATTTACAATACAATAAAAGTAATGTGTAAAGGCTAGAGTACAGTATGTTCAAATAAGAATCTTTGAGTTTCTTTGTGTGATTCCTTGAAAATAATTTGAATGCACTTTTTATGTGGTGCTTAGAGTGCACATAGGATACACTGAAGGATTAACTGATTCAATTGATTTGACATCAAGAATTAAATATAAGGAGTGGAGCTGGTGTATAGTGGTACAATAAAATGCTTGCTTTCTAATCTTAAGCTCTTTGTGACTTTCGATTCTGAGAAAACACAAGCATAACACGCAACTGGCACTCGCCTAGCCTCATAAAGTTCAAGTTTAAGTTCAAGTTCATTTGTAATGTCACATGATATGGTATTGTATCTTCTGTCTCTGGAGAACAATGGAGTTTTGTGTCATGGATTAAATTTGGATTTCAAAACTAATCCACTTCCTTTGCGATTAGGGGTTTTTTTTCCTTTTTGCTTGATTAGAGAAACTGGATTTTAGAGAACTTTAAATTCTTAGAAATAAGAAATGTTTTAGGGTATTGGAGTTAGAAATACATCTGCTGCTGTTGCTGAATAGCTGTATTTATTATTTATGTAACATTTTTTCAAGGTTTAAATGCATAACAATTTAAATGTGCTAACAATAACCATGTTATATGATGGTGTTTAACTCATTCTACCCCAGTGATAGGGAGTAGTGACTCAAGCAGGTGTGTGGGGAAAGAAAGGGCTTTTCCCCCACCAGACAGGCATTAACGCTGCGTGACCTTAACAACAATATCCAAACGGCAGGGCTTAGGGGGAAAGATCCATTAACTAGAGCAAGACTGTTGGATTGGGAGCAGAGGCCCTTACTCACCTTTATCCATAATTATTAAAAACAATGATATGATAAAATGTACAAATAGGTTTATATGTTTTATGAAAATAATTATGTGGATTATAGTCTGAAGTAGAGTCAAGCATATTTACAGGAAATGTGTTGGGACTGTCTGTCCCACCTACACTTAATAAAACTGTGAACACTCAAAATAAATTTTAAATGAGTGTGCACTTTTCCACAGGCCAAGACCATGCATGTTAGATAGTACCCTAAAATAGCAGTTATTTCTATATTTAATTTAGCCCTACTTTCTACTTCAATTTATAATATTTTCTAGTTAAAAAAAAAAATTAAAGGAACAATCTCCGAAGTGCATTTAGCCTTGACGTGTCAGAATCGACATTTCTATTTTTGTCATTTTGTTTTCTCTTCGTCAACTGTTTTGTTGTTTTACGTGTTGGATTATTTGACTTCCGCGCGCTTGTGTTCACGACTGAGCCAACCGTTACGATTAGTTACAAGTTTCACTCAAGTGTCCAGAGAGTTTCAGAATCACTAATGAAATATAATTGGACTTAATCAGAGATTCCTTCCTTTAGGTATATAATATTCCTATTCCTCACAAAGCAGTGTAAAATATTATAAATGCAAGCAACTGTGTATTGTACCATAAGTTGTGTTGTTATTGTGAATAGATATATGTGAAAAGTGGTGACAATTTTTTCAAACCGACTGTACGAATGCAGGAACTCTTTTTCGATACTTGGATTGATTTTTATTGGATTTCATTTGGAATTATCAAATCATTTTGATCTATACCTTTTGCCTTCTACTGTAAGTTTTCAATTAAAATATTGTTTTTTTGGTTTTTTTAAATTAATATTTATAGAAGGTGCATCCAGTGTATCATAGAAGGTCGGCTGATATTCAGGGGCCCTTTTTAAATTAATAAAATAATGTGATTCTTTTATCAGAAAAATTTCTTTTATGAGGCATAGGGAGTGGAGTTTTTGAGTCATTTGAAATACCGCTGTGACATGAATTCAATTAATTCTTCTAATTCTACTACTACTGATACTACTAATGATTTATTGATTTTTCTTTAATAATTTTATAAAATTTATAAATGTCAATTATTTTTAACTTGTTTTTATCTTTTTTTACTATTTAGGTGTTTTTTTGGACAAGCTGGCGACCAAAGGGCAAATGGGATTTAAAGTATTTCTGGGAATGCTTGAGACACGCTATCCAGAACTCTACAAACAGTTGTCAGGCAAAGAAGCTGATCCTAAGTTGATAAATGGTAAGAAATCAGTACAGTTATCTATTTGGACTAAGTGTTAGGTAATAATATTAGGCTTACTACTTATATAACAATACTAATAATAATGTAAGAATTAAGTAAGTGATAGATCCAGAATTTTTTTGCAGGGTGGCGCAAGGGGTCGAAACTATTGTTAAGAGAGGAAGGTGTTGCGGTGTTCCCTTTACAAATTGTGGGAGTCTCTTTCAATAGGATTTTTAAGCATTTAAATCTTTTGCCTAAAAGGGTTTTTTTGATTGTGATTTTTTTTTTTTATTGGGTGGGAGGGCAGATGCCGGAAGGGGGAAGGGGGATCCGCCACTGTAAATAATAACATAATGTGGCAAACGATCACATAGAGTAAAGCAAACAACACAGTATGTAAACATTATGATTTTGTGGTGTATATATGTTCCAAAGTAATAATAATAATAATAATAATAATAATAATAATAGTGTAGTTTTATATAGCGCCAAATAATTCTAACATAAGATGCAGGGCGCAATTGATATGTGGACTAGGAACTCGATCAATGAATTTCTTCACCCCTAAGGGTCCCTTCGTGTCTGTGTTACCCGGTAATCCGGTACCAGCAACTCTCGTCGTCCACCACAGGGGCTGTCTGTTTCAGTACACCCCTGTTAACCGCTCAGCCATTTGACTCGCCATAATGATATAAACAGTACGCATATCTTTTAGAAATTTATTTGCAAATGTAAATGTAGTCGAATTTGATATATTAAAGACCACATATCAATATTGGTTGATATTAAGTAATTGATTGGTTGATTGATTGATCAATCGATTGATTGATTGATGGTTGATTGATTGATAAGGATTATTTGATTGATTGATTGATTGAATTTAAATGTATAATTTAAAGTCCAGACCACAAATATATTTCTTTTTAGAAAATCTAACATTTACTTTGGTTTTTGAAGGGAAAAAGATTAATCTGGTGTACAGCATTAATGAAGTGACACTTTCAATTGTTTGTCTGAATGTTTCTTTCAATTTGTGTCTGAATATTTTTTAGTTTGTTAGTGCAATTCATATAAAAATCTTTAAATATTTATATTCTAATAGCTGCTCTTTTACTCCATAATCTCTGCTTATCTTTCTCATTCAGATTAGAAAATTTATAAGTCAAATTAATACACAACAAGTTATTTATGTTAATTGAATGATTACTTGATAATGAATAAATTAGTGAGGGACATGTACCAGCAAATGCTAGACTCCAAATTTAAAAATTGTTAAAATTGAAAACAAAAGTGAAATTATAACAAACGTCTCTGCACAGCATATTATATACTGTGCATTAATTATTGTTTATAAACACTGAGCCATTTAGTTATATTGCTTTATTAAATAGCAAATACAAAAATAGCCTATTAAGTTGACTTAGTAAATCAACAGCCTAGTAATTAATAATAAAATATAAAACACAAATAATTTGTTTCTGATATCAAACATATTTACTTATCTATGAAATATGAATTATAGCAAAATTTTTATGTTCAAGAAATATTCATAATTCACTGCCTTTTCAAAAACTTTATTTGCCATCTGCTGTTGCAGTACCGTAGGTTTGCTTATATATTTTTGAGTAGGTACTTCTTTAATTCCGACGCACCTAAAACTTTCAGTGTTATATTACTAATTTTTATATTCTCTTTTTTATGCTAATTTAAAAGCATTTGTAGTATGAATGGTTAAGGATAATATGGGACAATCAACCCTGTAGCCAAAAGGGAAAGGGGCAAGGGTGGCCATGCTTTTCTTCTAAGTTGTTGTCCCCTGCTGAAATAAATGCTGTAAATAATTAAAAGCAAAAAATTATTTTTATAATAGCAAAAACAATTATTGGGGGAAAATATTGGGTGTTTCTCTGTTGGTATTTGCTTTGATGTGAAAATAAGTAGATATTCAGCCCCATAGCCAAGCCAAAAGGAGAGGGGACAGGGGTCATTTAAGCCCTTCTAGTACTTGACCCCTCCCCCTTCCCCGATCAATGAGTCTAGCTATGTGGCTGGGGACAATATAAATATAGGGAGTGAATGTGGCAATTGTGACAACCTAAAACCAGTTGAGATTTTTTTTTTTTTTTTTTTGCAAATTATGCAAATTAGATGACTTCCTTTAAAGTATGATAGATAAAAAAAAAATAGGCTATTTTCGGCTATGAACTAATATGTCTAATATAACTGCAGTACCTGACATATTATTATACTGAATGTTCCATATGTTCCAAAATAAAACAATTTTCAATCAATCAATCAATCAAATGCATTTATATAGCACCAGTATCCATTAATAATGTTCAAAGGTGCTCGACAAAGAAGAAAAAAAAAATCATAAAAAGGGATTCAGTTGGGAATTGCACCGATGACCTCCAGATAACTAAGATAAGATAAGAAGATAAGATAACTTTATTGTTCCACAAGGGAAATTCTTCTGCTCGTCATCACATATTATATTAAAAAATGTAAAACAAATATAAGAACATACAAAACAGTCACTATAGAAAATATAACAATTTACAAGTAAAATACAATGACAACCATCGAAAAAATAATTGAATTACAATTATGATTATTTTTAATTATTATTATTATTATTATTATTATTATTACTATTATTATTATTATTATTATTATTACTATTATTATTATTATTATTATTATTATTATTATTACGCAGAAGAACAATATTCAGATGGTGATTGCATAAGGAGATTAATTAACAATGAGGTTTTTGACCTCCCCTGACTTGTTATCGTACTGAATGCTTAGTACATTCCCAAATACATTTTGCGAAAACAACATCATGTAGGTCAAACTATCAGGTTGCCTTAACCACTAGACCACCAAGCTTGCGCTTAGTGGTTACTATTGAATCGGAACCCCAAGGAGCCGCAGATACTGCAATGCTATTCAGATAATGTTTCTGTGAAGAGATAGATTTAATAGGAATGATGTTTTTGACCTATCTGATGTTGTTTTCGCAAAATGTATTTGGGAATGTACTAAGCATTCAGTACGATAACAAGTCAGGGGAGGTCAAAAACCTCATTGTTAATTAATCTCCTTATGCTATCACCATCTGAATATTGTTCTTCTGCGTATTTGTGGATCAATAAATATTTAATGGTGTATTTCAGGATGTACCGACAGTATGTTTTTTTCTTTAAGTGTCATTAAACACTTTGTACTGAGTGTGCTGAAATATCAGCTTCCTCTAGTCCTCATAATAATTAACTACTGTTTTTACCTTTAGGATATTCAAATACTCAGTATAAACTTTCAGGAGGGTAGGCTGATTTTGGTTGGGGGGGGGGGGGCGTGAACAGTGATGACACTAGCAGGGGGAATTCTTCCCCCGTCGAACAGGCCTGGACCCCCTGTCGTTCGACGAACGACTAGGTCATCAGATCAAAAATTTAAAAAAAAAAAATTTGCCTATCAAAATAACATCATTTTGATTGCCAATCCCTAATATTGTGATCTGAAAGCACATTTTGGACCATACTGAGCTATAAAAATTCTCTCTCTGAACACTACCACTGACCAGGCATTTTTTATTCCAGGCTATCGACAAGGCTTCGTGCGACATGGCCTAGGGGTGCAAACATTGAAAATACATAACTAATTCTCTATTCCAATGACAACTTAAATGGTCATTTTTGGTATTTTAACCCACTTGGTTGAACTAATTTAACGTCATGTGGGGTGCGTTCCCACCCCCAACCATAACCATAAAAAGGCTCATTTATTGTCCTAATCTATACAACTTGTCTGTGTATTAAAAGGCTTTATTATTGGCAAAATCAAAAAGTAAAAATTTAATATTTTTATTATCCGTTTATCAATATTGTTATAATTATTATTTAAATGATTGTTATTAATACTAATAATAATAATAATAATAGTGTAGTTTTATATAGCGCAAAAAATCCATCTAATTTAAGATGCTCAGGGCGCTTGAAATGTGGACTAGGAACTCGATCAATGATTCTTTGCCCCTAAGGGTCCCTTCGTGTCTGTGCTACCCGGTAACCCGGTACCAGCAACTCTCGTCATCCACCACTAGTACTAGTACTAGTAGTATTGATATTATTATTATTTATTAGTATCATCATTATTATGCAGAGATTCCCTCCAATCAAAGACCACTTTTGGGACCAGTGTTTCCATGTCATTAGCAACATTGGTTTCTAATTAGAACATTAAAAGATAATTCATTAACTGAATGTTTTTTTCTTTCTATATTGATATGAAATTCTGATATAAAGATAAATTGAAATTAGACTTTATGGGACCGCAGAAAAGTGGTCTTTAATTGGAGGGTCTTTAATTAGAGAAAGACTAGTATTTATTATATTTTTTTAATTGTTATTATTATGATTACATTATTAAATTTTAGTGTCATTGTGATCAGCATCTTTGTCGTCGCCTGATCATTATTAATAAAAATATCATTCAATGATTTTTTTATCATTATTTTTAGCAAAGGAAGATATCTCAACAATGGACAGTTGTCAACAACATAAAATCATAATTAAAAACATGGCTTCAGAGATTGCAGAGATGGCCAACCATCTGGAGAAACTTAAAAAAAGCAAGGAACATGCGCAACGAAAGGCCAACGAACTACAGCATTTCAATGACATTCTGAAAACTAAACACAACAAGAATATGACCAAGTTACAGCACTTTGAAGCTCTTCAGCAAACTTTAAAAAGGGTGAGTACACAATGTGTGGATTTGAATTTAAATTTCCTTCACATCTAACAGTATGTGCACGTTCCGCGTACAGGATGGACCGATGCTATATAAACCAGGTCTCTTATACCCCCTTTTACACTATCAGCGGGACTCTTGGAATAAAACCGCTTTTACTTCCCCGTAGTCGATACACCGGGTTTCAAACACCGGAGTTGGGGGTTAGTGTAAATGGTTATGCTGAACCGGTGTGCTGAACCCGAGTTCAACAAAGCTGAATGTTTTCAAGAGACGCTTCTCCGGAATAATCCTGTTAACATCGTGTAAACAGACCAAACTTTCGTACACAGGGATTTTAATCATCATCCACTTTCATGAAAATTATTCAGTTTTTTTTTGTAATAATATATAACTATTTATATATTTTGAACGTCTTTAGTTCAAAATAATAAACATAATGTAAATCACATTTTATTGCTTTGAATTGTATTTTTGTATATTATATTTCAATCAATTAATTAATCTATTAATTAATCAAACAATCATTTAACCAATCAATCAGTCAGACAATTTATTTAATCATTATTATCATCATCATTATAATCATGTCATTGTCATTTTCAGTCAAACAATTATTTAATCAATCAATCAATTAATCAGACAATTATTTAATAAATCAGTCAATCAAAAAATATATTTAGTCAATCAATCAGTAATGTATCACTGGGTTTCACTACCATGGCACTCTTAGAATTTGTGCGTAATTCACTACTTATCAACTGAAGAAGTTATGTCAATGGAAGTAATGTAACGTGATCTAAGTTTATACGGGTCTCCCTTGAATTACTTACCACTTTTTGGACTGGGAAGTTCATGGTCTTTATTAGCTTTGATCTTCAAGTCTACCTTTCCTAAGAAGAATGTTCACCAGGTGACCAATCTATTGGATTGGATTTATTCGGTGTAAACACCAAGGATAGCCCAAGAAAATCTAGAAAGAAGACTTATTTCCAGTGGGGTCCTTCTGGTGGTGATTGGGCAGTACACCGGGAGACAATCCCCTACTCTTTTCCGAAGAGTGTACTGTGTTCTTTAACATGCACATGGGTTATAAATGCACACGGGACCAACGGCTTAAACGTCTCATCTGAAAGACAGGCGCTATAATTGTAACTTGTATTTCAGCCCTCCAGCTGAAACACAAAGAGAGGCAGCAATGGGAATTGAACCATGGACCGCCACAGTTCAGCGCACACATAGTGGCTACCACCAGATTAGCCAACTGAGCTAAGCTGTTCTCTCTATGAGTTTTGAAAAGTGCTTTGGTCCAATATAGAAAAGAGAAATATTATTTTAATTAGAAAAATTATTTTTATAAAAATATTATAAGATACACATTCATTTGTGGGCCATAGAAAAGTGGTCTTTACAGATGGTCTATAATTGGAGAGGCCTTTAATTAATGGGAGACCTGTAATGATAATCTTTAGTTTAATTTACTAAATTGCTGTCTCCCTACAATTTTTTGCTGCATCATGTAGCAATGTGAAAAGAAAGCAATGTATCGATACAACTGCCGTAATACACAGTGTAATTTCGACGTCAGTGAAACTGTTTACATGAACTTTGTATTTGTAACTTTGACGTTGTTTTCCTTTTGTGGTTTAAGAGAATTTTTGCAGAAACGATGAATTACAGTGCATCCTCCATTGTTATTTGGTTCTTTGAAAAAGTTTTTGAAAGAACCAAATAATTGCTTTTTAAACACAAAGCTTTATTGAACCCCAAGAACACCCCAAATTTTCAGGGTCCCATTGTGGTTACGAATTGGGAGGATGAACTGTATTTGGAAGAGACCACCCTATTTAATGATCATAATTATGTAATTAAACTATTATTATTTCTTTTGCTTGTTAGCTCCAACATGAATTGAACGACTTAACGACACAACAGAGGAACATCCTGGCAACCAGTCTTCAATTACAGCAGGAGAAGGAGGCTATACAAAGAAGATTAAGAAGCGTAAGCTATTATCACATTCAGGCGATGTGCCCATATATGTCACATTATACCTAAATATGGGCATAATGTGACCATATATGTCACATTATACCCAAATATGGGCATATCACAGTTGTCACAAAGTTTTCATAGAACAAAGCTAAACACTTTATCTACATTTGATAAATCCCCTCTTAAAGAAAAACCTGGGCACGTCATTTTGTTTTTATGTTATTGTGTTTGTTCTTTGTTTGTTCTTTGTTTTTTCCAGTCACTTATTTTTAGTATATTTCTAAATTTGGACAGCGATGTCTCTCTAATAATATTTGTCTTTCCAAAAAATCTAGGTAAAGATAAATTTAATAATAATTTCTGTATATAAATTGTGAAAATTACCACAGTACATCATTCCAAAACCATGGCATGGGGGCTTCTGATATGGGATGGGGGTTTCAAGGTCATTTGGGGTGCTAGATGATTAATTGCGGGGGAGATACATGTAGCTAGCAAAATAAGGTGAAACTGGGTGATTTTTAACTATTTGACTATATTTTTTTTTATTCTCCAAATTTTTAGACGGTGTGGTGCCAATATGGGGGGAATTTTTTAGAGGGGCTTTCGTCCCCATCTTTATCCTCTTCTGTAGATGCGCCACCAATTTCAAGATAAATTTTATTTTTTTATTTAAATCATTTTCTTATTTACATTTTTTTAATAAATTGTAGCTACCTTATTGATGAGTCGTGACCTTGCAATTACCTGTTCATTCTTAAGAGAATCTGTGTCACGCACTAAATCATTTTTGTTTGTCATTGATTTTGTTTTTTTGCATTTGGCGGACTTCAATTTTTTTAACCTAAATATTTTACTCAGCCTGTTAGCCTATAAGTTATATCTTTTAATAGTATGGTATCATACTGCTATTGTAATGGTAAAATATTAGATTATTTTTTTTTAATGATTAATAATAATTAGTTAAGCTAATCAATGATTATAAATTAATAGATTAAAATAATTTTATTATTGAAATTCAAATTGATCAATAGTTCATATGTTGTTATTACACCTTAGCCAAGAGTCTTAGTTGAATTGAATGCTCTAAAGTTTATTGACCGGCTGCAAATTGACATTTTTACATTCAGCTTTTATTTCCTTTCCAAGAATTTGGGATACACTACCAATGGAAGTCACTGACCTTTCTTTTTTTGGTTGCCCTAAGATTTTCCCGACTTTATTTAATGTTATGTGTTGTTAGGTGTATTGTAATTAATGTACACCAGAATAGAGTTCATATAATGTTCTGTTTTTTTCACTTTCTGATGATACACCAGATTGGTGTCCTTTTATATTTTATTGTACATTTTATGTCTTCTTGAAAATAAATAAATTGAATACAATTGAATTCACTCTTTGCTCAATCTCAGCTAGTTGATTTCAACATCACAATTGCTGAGCATTTAAGGACCTATATACCCTAAACATTCATCAATTATATTCTACAGTCATTTGATTTTCTCCCCAAACCAGGCTAATGTGGAGATCACCAACTTAAACAGGCAACTGGAACACGCCAAAGAACACAACATACGCAGGTCCATCATCTTTGATACTAAGAAACCATCTCTTCCACGCGGCTCATCTCTCGACTCAGCAAGGGCCAAAATTTTAGAAGGGGAGATTGACAAACTACGCAATGAGTTAGCTGCATACCGAGACGGCAAGGTTAATAAAAAAAACGGGAATACCGTGTCTGTATTTTGATGTAGTGTGACATTATCATGCCCATATATACGCACTTAAAACGGATAATTTCATAGTGCCAAAAAATTTTAAAATTATCCAAGGATCCATGTGAAAAAAAATAACGCAGTTTAACATTCCTGAAGTAAATAGGTTTTTAGATTTTTTCTGAAAGCACTGACAAAACTATGAAATTTTATTTGACAAAAACATGTTAAATGCCTAAATATGGTCATGATGACATCACATCATGACCATATATAGGCACATCATTACTATATATGGGCATATACAACAGTTTTTTTGGTAGTGTGAACTGAACTTAATAGTAAGCGAGTTTGATGAATGACAAGCAGGAAGAGGTGAGGAATTCCATGTAGAAGGCTTGTTGACGTAGGCTTAGCCATCCCAAAAGACGGCCTACAATTATTTAGGACGGCCACTTTTACGGTGACGACATGGACGGCTTGGCCTAATCAGTTCGGCTTAGCCTAATTGATGAAATGCTAAATCATATTTAAGTTTGATAAAAACAACCTTTATTGATTGAATTTACGTTGTTTTTCGTTACAATATTCGGTGGGAATTCTCAAAGATGGGCATGGCCCGCCCATCGGCTCAGTGCCATGCCCACTGGCTTCCATTTTGGACGGCATATTTTGTTTTTCTGGGTAAATCTCTGCTTGTTGACCATGATTTTTCTTTTGCCTCTTCAAGACAGAACAATATTATTTATAAAACTGTCAGATCCATTGCTGTTGGATTATGTATATGATTATACGATTTGTGGGTATTTTTATATGCATTATAGGATGTTGACGTAGAAGTAGCCATTTTACGAGATGATCTGCGTGACAAGACAGCTGAATGCGAACACCTAGCAGACGAGTGGCAACAAACGCAAAAAGAGCTGCACAACGCAGAAGAAGAACGAATGCAGGTAACTTGTACATTTTATTCATTTTTCAGAAGGATTATTCACTTTGAAAAACAATCATAAACTGCCTAAGGTAATCAGAAGTATGAAAAGGAAAGTTTAATTAATATTTTTGATTAAATCTGTTAATAATTTGATATCAGTCATGTAAGGTTAAGACACAGGCTTAACGCTAATTGTTATCGGGTGTATGCAATGTGTTTTCTTTTAATGCGTGAAGTTATATAAATTATAGATACGTCTGGATGACTGCCAGTTGTGCGATGGTGATTTCATATGGGCATATACATGAGCCAAGTAATTTTAAAATGTGACAGCTAAAACGCTGTTCTCGCAAGTTGCAAAAGTTCTGGTCGTTCCCCCTCATCCTGTACATTCCCCGTGAGTTTGCAATCCTGAGAGTTCCAAATTCACTGTTGACATTATTTTTTTCGGGGTTAAAAATCACTACGGGATAGGCGGAAGTACTTTTTTTGGCTTTACTTGTTTACAACCAACATTCTGTTGTTTTTAGTGAATTTGGTAATTTTTTGCTCTTTCCAATATGTAGGAATTTTGTAAATTTATTTTTGTGTACACATTTGTTGTTTTATATTCAAGATAAGTAAATTCTATATTTAATTTGAATTGCAACTAACAAAATGTTTATTTAGCAGTTTTAAGCAGATGTCAATTTGAACAGGTGTTAATTCAAACAGGTGTTAATTCAAACAGGTGTCACTTCGGACAGGTGTCACTTGGGGCAGGTGTTAAAAATGTCTTTCAGTTTCACAATTTCTTTTGTGATACATTATTAGTCCTACATACTTTTCGGTATTTTGCAGGCATTAAATGACCTAGAAGATGCACGGTATGCTTGCCAAAACTCTGAACAAGAAGCAATAAGATTCAAGCAGCTTTACGAACTAAACATTAAACATTCAGACAAAACAGAAGAAGATCTGAAAAAGGTAAGATTAATTTCCTTAAATAGGCATTGAAGGTTTGTGTGGTAAATGGAACAATTAAGAAATGTTTATACAGTAGTACAACATATGATATGATGAATACAGTTTTTAAAAGGAATCTGAACTTCGAGTCTTTAAATGTTGTGATATCACACAACCTACTAGTTCATTTCAGATTGAAAATCATCTAATCTTCCTCGTTATGACATTTACTGATCCTTATTAATCCCTCCCAAGCCTCATAAAACCCAGTGGCATATCCAGGATTTTGAAACATTGGGTGCTAGATAGAAATATTACATCCACTGAATAAGAGAGCAGCTTAGCTCAGTCAGCTAATCTGGTGGTAGCCGTGCTGTGTGTGTGCGCGCTGAACCGTGGAGATCTTTAGGTCCCCGGTTCAATTCCTGTTGCTGCTCCCCTTGTGTTTCAGCTGCAGGGCTGAAATGCAAGTTGCGATAGTTCACTGCCTTTCGGATGAGATGTTTAAGCCGTTGCTTCACAAGCCTCATCAGACATCAGTACATCACGCATTTATAATAAATAATATTTGTTGTCTTGGTATTTCAGGCACGAGAAGATCGTAATTCACTTGAAACACACGTTGATTCCCTCTTGCGAGAACAGCGCGATCTCCTCTATCGGCTGCAAGATATGCAGAACAAAAACATGGTAATCTCACAAGAAAGAAGTATTTTGGAGAAATTGATGAAGAAGGAAACTCCACGGAGGAAAAGGGTAAGAATTGAAAAAAAATAAAAATATTATAAATTTTCAGGATGGCATTCTGATTGGCTGATGTGAGAGTCAGCATTAACCATAGCACCCCCTTGGATACCAGTTCCATGTTAAAGCCCTGTGCAGACTGTCAAATTTTATTTGACAAAAACATGTGACATGCCTAATGGTCATGATGACATCACATCATGACCATATATAGGCACATCATGACCATATATAGGCACATCATTACTATATATGGGCATTCAAAATTTTTTTGTCAAAAAAATTTTGTAATCTGGACCGAGCTTTAAGATTAAGTATTTACTATGTTACATGGTGGCAGCAGCCTAACCCAGCATCATTCTTACCCTTGTGAAGGTGAAAAATGCTGAACTTTCCATCCTGTGGTTGGATCTAATCCCTTCATGGTTGGATACACACAAAGCTGACACAATTTTAATGTATTCATGCACCCAGTATTCTGTCTCTTATACACATCTAGATGTGTATAAGAGACAGCGCTAGAGATTTGAGTAACGCATGATCTTCCAGGAAGGAAACCATGATGGCAATTAGATAAAATTCCAAGATTATAAATATGGTTAGAAAGTCTTGCAGCAAAGATGTGTATAAGAGACAGGCATTGGCCTCCATTGCTTATAGTTGAAAATATGAAAGACACATTTGCACGCAAACAGAAATGCTCATATACTAGCATACTTACAGTACTCATGAGCACCAGACTGGTTTCCAGTCCCTAGACTTTGTCTTAATCCGTGAAAATGTTTAAAAATAAATCAATTTTGGCATCAATGGTGTTCCATATTGGTGTTTGATAGTACAGTATACTTTTTCTGGGATTTGCATCAAAAAGTTTCTCGACATTAACCGATCACTGGTGGCGCTTTCTGAAATTGGCTAATACTATGAAAATTCAATAAATTAGAGTCTATCATGAGCATATACTACTTGAAGCAGCTGAGTTAATTTCTTGGTGTACCGTATATACCTTGCAATTGTCGCTATACTGTTAACATGCTCTCGTATCGTGTATCAATTACACAATTAAATGCAACTAACGTTTTAATTGACCAAGCTTTGAAAAAACAGTCTTTGAGTAAATAGATCTGGTTCAATTTGTTCAGTTCCTGAAGGAAATAAAACCTCTTGAACTTTTTGAAATACTGTATATAGGTCTACCTCCAATTAATGACCACTTTGTGGACCAGGGTCAGGGGCAGATTTAGAGGGGGCCTCTATTATTTACAGTTAAATACTAACATGCACTGATGTAGGCTGCTGCAATTTTATGGAATACTCCCCCAAGGAGCTTGAGTTTGTGTTCCATAGGCGTTTAATCCAGTGACCGGGGGTTGTAATGTGAAGCGCTTAGAGGCCTTGTTAATGTTAAGCGCTATATAAATCTAACATTATTATTATTATTATTATTATTATTATTATTATTATTATTATTATTATTATATCTGTCCTTTTCTACCTTCACTCATCTTCGGTTTTATTTCTGGCTGTTTACTTACGTTTACTTTTTAGCTGCTGCTTATTTAATTTTTATCTCTACCAAGATCCAGCCATTGTTTCCCGATAGTATATGTTGAGATAATAAACATAAACAATTTTTTTTTTTCAAATATTTCGAGCACTTTTTTGCTCTTCCTCATCAATATCACATACTGTATGATTGAAAAAAGCTTTACAAAATAGCAAACGGGGATAAACAGTTTAGCAATGACAGAGATAAATTGTAATTGATAAGTATAATTAAAGACGGATTATAATGGGCAATAACAACAAAGAAGGTAAAGATAAATGATAGAGCTAATCTGCTGACTTTAGGCCTATGATCTCAATTTCCTAATAAAATAAAAAGTAAAAAGTTAAAGGATTTCCTTAATGGAATAACTAATTAGTAAATGTATAATCTTGAAGAAAGTCTTTATTTATGTCATGTGCCTAAGGCGCGATCGACAAATTATTCCAGATGACAAATCAGCGTTCAGGCGCGTTTTCTATTGTTCTACCAAAACGTGTCTAAAAACACCGTTTGAATAGAACACTGTTTGGACGCTGATATTCCGTTTTGGCCTTTGCTCCTCCCCTTTAATTATGGCTGATTTCATGCACCGTAAAACGCGTCCAGACAACTCTCTAAAATGAATCATAATACGACTGACTGTGCAGTCCTACTCTATACATAAGTACAGACTTGTTTACCTGCTAGTGAATGTCTCTTTGTACGCCGCCTGTGTGTGCAAGAACTGACAGAAGTACGTAAACTAGGGGAAGTCCCTGGTCGATGCTAAAAAAAATAGTCGGTTGGGTACTGGGACGTCGATGTTCAGTAGGCCTAGTACCGAGCATAGGTGAGACTTTCGCAATATGCAGTGATTTTACGAGACGATGAACAAATATAAAAAATACAATTTTTTTTTTTTAGTTATTTCCGATGTAGTCGCAGCTGGAGTCGCTGCCCACCATCAGTTTTAAGAAGCGCGATCACCATCTGTGCAGCTGTGGTAACATCCAGCACAGCAATTAATTGCTATCTTTGCCATTGAAAGGGATCACGTGCTAAGAGAAGACCCATGCTCCGAAAATGTTGTCCATGATCAAAGTAGATGAAATTTTGCATTATACTAAGCTAAATTATATTTACATTTTATAAAATAATGTTTATTAATTGAATTTACGTAAATTTCATGCGAAACACGTTGTTTATGCCAAATTTCACCGCGAATTTCGACTTACAAACATGCTAAAAAGGCTAAACCATTGCCTACCCAGTAAAGGTTTTACTGACATTTTGCTATATTACTGTAATTTATTTATTTATTCAACTGAACATACACTTCTGTTTCAGCGGCACACATAAATGTGGTGCGTTCAATGTATAAAAGAGAGAAAGAAAAGCAACTAAAAATAAATAATTCTTAAAAAAAAAAATGTTATACCCCGTTTGAAAATGGACAGTTCTAAATTGCCCAGTACTCTACTTGTTTACGCACGTGGTTCTGGGCCCTGCTCTCTGCACCAAAGACTCGACCTCGAGATCACTGCTGTTGTATTTGAAAGAGCACTCTGTAGTTCGATCAGTTAGATAATAAATCAAAGTTATTGTCTTTATCTAAATTAAACTAGTCAACCAAATATACATCTCTCCATTCGGAGAACATACAGTAGAACTTACAGTGAAGAAAATGTCACTGCTGCATAGTATACACAGTACGGGACATAGTAGAAAGTAGCCTCAGAAAATTGTGAGTAACCAGCCGTACGCGAGGATAAAAAACGATAGGCAGATTACCTACCTATGTCTAAATTTGATTTTATATTTAGGCCAGAATTTAACGCCGACTTACCATGGCACTTAAAGTATATTTGAAGTATGTTTGTGATTTGTAATGCGAATGTAGGCTACCCTCCTTCACTTTTGTAAGAAAACGTCAGCGCTATTTCTAGAGTCGCGACATAGTTCTATTTACAGAGCGGCGTACAAAGCGAATTCCAATTGAATTCGGTTAGCGCATACCGCGCCATGGAACCTCCAGGCACGTTGTTATCATGTAATTTACAAATCTTCATATAAGCATAGAGAAAGTATAGCCACATGTACGTATAAGAAAACAATAGAAAATCATTCAAACAATCAACAAGAGTCCAAACGATTCACCGTTGTCCAGAAGCGAGTCATGATTCAAGCGTGTAGCAAATGAATATTTATATAGCGTGGTAATTAGAATGGTTGATTTCTCAGACGCATTCGTGATAGGAAGTTGACCTAGACGCGTTTCTGCTGTCTGGGATAATTTGTCGATCTCGCCAAATAATGAGTAAAAAAAAAAATTCTAATTAATTTTTTATTTGTTGATCTTGTAGGGAGGATATCCAGATCTTGGTTATGCTGGTGGCTCGGTAAATATTTTTTCTTGGTATAAGAGATTTTACTGGATGTGTACATTATACCGTAAAATCTGTAATAGAAGCCCAATGGGCTTAATCTCTAGAAAAACCCCATCTCAAACTGAAACCCCCTCTTTACAAATGTATCCTGAAAAAGAAGCCCATCTCGAAAAGAGCATAGTCTTAGATTTTTTTTTTTCCCGATATAGTACAGTAAATACAATGTACATGAATTTCAAAGAAACAAAAGAAATTAAAAACACGCTTGAGGTATACAGTAGTTTTGGTGATTTAATGCCGGTTAATACACTCAGATTGATGTTACAGTGGCCCAAAATTTACAGCATTCAATTTAAAAAGAACCCCCCCCCCCCCTTTCTCTTTACTCTGCAAAAGTAGCCTCAAAAAGAAGCCCATCCAGTTCACAAAAGAAAGAAGCCCGGGGCTTCAAATCAAGGTTTTACGGTATGCTAACAAGTGACAACATGATTATAACAATAAAATGGTTGCTGGCTGTGCATTTTTTGGTTTTGTTTTTTTTTTTGCAAAAAGCTATAACACTTAACATTTTTTTTATTTTCATATGTGCATTGTCTTTAATTAAAGTTTGAAACATATTTTTTATAACAAAAAAAGCACCAATTATATTGAAATTTAATTTCACAAATATTTTTCTAACATAATATACTTAACTTTATAGTAAATTAAATATTTGTATATTATAAGAGACTAGAAATTATAAAGGAAAAAGCAATATTATTTGGATGTAATATTGAACATTATTTGTATTTATCAGCAGTCCGAGTCTTCAAAGGATGGCTCCCGTCCAAATTCCATGGAAGAGGTCAACAAAGATTTGGGCTCGGAACAGGCAACAAGCTCTACAGCGACAAGCACAGAAACTTCTGGTAGGCAGAATGGAAGGCCTAAGTTGAAATTGAACACTCCCCATCAAGACTCTGTAGACAATGGTGAGAAACAGTTTCGCCAGAGGGCTGATGCCTTTGGCACTGGCTCCCCAATAGCAAGGTACAAAGAACTGAGCAGTATCTATGCAACTTTGCAGAGATCTCCAGAAAATGGAGTTGAAATGTCGGATAATCTGAAGCCAAGTTCATCCTGCGGTAGTATTGGATCAAGTAACGATCAGGAAGACAGTCTGGAATCGGGATCTAGTAGCGTGCCTAGTCGTCCTCTTTCCCGTCAAAGAAGAGTAATGGATACTGTTTCTTCGATTGACGTACAGGCAGGCTCGAAGAGGAATAGATACACACTGACGTGGTACGTCGATGGCAGTAGCACCCTTTTAGGCACAAAAAGCACCATTCATTATTTTTATCAATATATATGGGAAGTAGGGTGGTTGACAGTGTAAGCATATATAAATGCTTACGAAAAGGATGAAATGATAATCTTGAAATGACACAATTATTTTATTGTGTAAGCTTTTGGGGAAGGATAGGAGTCACAGAAAATAATATGTTTTGTACTCTCAAGAAAATGATGAAAATAATCAATGGCCCCATTGGTTTCTTTACTATATCAGCCATATTAGGAGGAGTCAGGCCCGTAACCAGGTTCCCGGAAAGGAGGGTTTCTTATAGACAAAATTTAACTCAGAAGTATTTAATTAATACTTCACAGCTTTTGCATTTTTTGCATCTTCAAAATTCTAGTCAATGACTTTTGACCATTTCTTGAGTTCCTACTTTTTTGTAAGCGTATACTTTGTACAGACACTGCAGTGTTCCCCTTATTTTTTATTTTGTTTTTTGTCTTGATCTATCAATTTTTCCAAACAATATTTTATCTGATTTTCCAACATTTAGCTTCGGAGGACCCTCTCTTGCGATTGATGATAAGGTAGTTTATCAGATGCCCCCTTATTTTTAATTTTGTTTTTGCCAGATTTAGAAATTTTTTCCAATAATATTTCATATGATTTCCAACATTTAGCATTGGAGGACCCTCTCTTGCGATTGACGATGATAATGTAGTTCATCAGAAGCCCCCTTATTTTTAATTTTGTTTTTGCCAGATTTAGCAATTTTTCCAATAATATTTTATATGATTTTCAACATTTAGCTTTGGAGGACCCTCTCTTGCGATTGATGATGATAAGATTCATCAGGAGGTTGATGAAGATGATGACGATGAAGACCCCTATGGTATGTTAAAATCTACTTATATAATTGTAGACTTTTATAGTGCATATTGTTAAGCCCTCTATGATCTTCACATTATCATACCCCAGTCATTAGATTAAACCCCTGTGGAACACAACCGCAAGCTCCCTGGGGGAGTGTTCCATAAAGTTGCAGCAGCTACACTCTTACTCTTGGTTGGAGAGAAGAAATGCAGACAAAGTACCTTGCCCAAGGACACAAGTGAAATGTACAGCGAGTGATTAAAACCCCGACATCGAGTTTGTTGGGGAACCAACCCGTTCTCACTGCGCCAAATTACTAATTACTTCCATGTATGTATGTATATATATACTGTCTCTTATCCACATCT